AACAACAACAACAACAACATATTCCAAGTAGTGGAATTGCTGTTTTCAAATGGTATTTCTAGTTGCAACTTTTTGAGAAAGGGCCATACTGCCTTCCATAGCGGCTGCACCGTTTTATACTCACACCAACAGTAAATAAGGATTCCTGTTTCTCCACAACCTCATCAGCATTTGTTGTTTGCTATTCTGTTAAATTTTGCCATTCTTACTGGGGTGAAATGATAGCTCATTTTTGTTCTGAAGTAGATCCAGAGCCAAGGGCTTCCTCTTGGGCTGACTGGAGGGTTGGGGAGGCACCATAATTGGCAGCACTAATAGAACTTTTGTACCACCAGCCCAGCGCCTCAAAGCAGAAGGTTATAGGGTCTGCAAGCACGCCTTTCTTTCAGCTGTCCTGACTGAAGAAGAGTTGTACCATTTCCAACGTGAATTATATCCTGTCTCTTCCCCCTTCCCCCCCAAAAAAAAAATCCCATAACCATGTGTACTTCCTGTGAATTCTGTGTGGTTACAGCAACAGATTAGTGAACCTAGTAGTAAAGCCAACAGATTGCTGGGACAGTTGGTGTGAAAAATTATAGAAAGAGATGTGGGGAAATGTTTGACTTCATCAGACCAGGTTTTATACCATGGATGTTGTAGATGGTGAATCTTTCCCCTTGTGGAATTAGTGGAGGTCTGATGTGGCTGTCTCCAAATCAGTCAAACTGATTTTACAAGAAAATTTAGGACTTAAGGATAACTCAACAATGTGTTCCCTAGAGTTTAGGTTTGTATTTGTGTGTGTGTTTATGTATGTGTGGCTCCTATGCACTCTACAACTTGAAATTATCAACAATCCTCTAAGAAAAAATTCACACCAGCAAGAAATTAAAAGACGAATTGAATTGCGAAAGTCTGCTGTCAGTGACCTCCTCAAAGTATTGAAGAGTAATGATTTCTGTTTGGAGACTAATACAGGACATGGTCTTTGTAATTATTTGCTATGCATCAGAGACCTGGACAATGACTAGGGATAATAGAAAGGAGAGTTGATGCCTTTAAGCTGTGATGCTGGAGAAGACTGCTGAGAGAACAAACAAGTTTGTCCTGGAGAGGAGGCAAGGATTCTGAAGCTTCATCTGGCATACTTGAGACATGTTGCAAGGTGGGATCAGTCCTTGGAGAGGGAAATCATGCTTGGGAGGGTGGAGAGACAGCGTAAAAGAAGCCCCTCGATGAGATGGATTCAGTCCTTGGGTTAATGGGGATAGGTGTGTTGGAAACAATAAGATTGGCAAGGGATAGAGCAGGGTTTAGGGCTGTTGTATATAGGGTCACTATGAATTGCAGGCAACTCGATGGCACATAACACCACCACCACTACAGAAAGACAACAGCCTTGTAGGAGGAGCCACTGCTGGGTTCAAACCACCAAACTTTTAGTTAAAAACCAACTGCCTAAACAAAGTTCCTGAGTTCATAGCTTATATTTCTAGTTCACTCTGAAATTTTTGTAGAGATAGCACACACAGCCATAAACCATAAGTGGTGTTTTAATATATACACATTTCAGCAGACTGCATATACTGCAGTTGTCTTATATTAGTTCACATTGTTTTATAATTTATATTTATACTTTTTTTCTTATAAAATTTTTATTTTATACTGGTTTACTTACAAAGTTCATATACATTGTTTTTCAAACAATCTTTTCCCCATTTCTTTT